GTTGAAAAACACTGGTTTAGGAAAAAGATGTTCAGCCCCAATTCATTTCAAATCCATCTTAGACATCCCAAAGGTGTTTTTTTTTTCAAAAAGGCAACAGGATGTTGATTTTTCCTTGAAGACATGGCGGTTCTGATCCAAGAAGCTTCTGGATGAGAAGCACAACATCTTCAAGGAAAAACAAAGTCCAGTGGCCTTTTGAAAAATCTCCTTTGGAACAACCATGACCTGGTTGACTGAGAATCCCCATGGACATCTATTTTAGAAGGTCACCGAGCCTGGGAACTGCTGCCAACTCAGGTAGGTTTAAAGGTAAAGGTTCCCCTTGCACATATGTGCTAGTCGTTTCCAACTCTAGGGGGCGGTGCTCATCTCTGTTTCAAACCCGAAGAGCCAGCGCTGTCTGAAGATGTCTCCGTGGTCATGTGGTCAGCATGATTAAACTCCAAAGGCACACGGAACGCTGTTACCTTCCCACCAAAGGTGGTCCCTATTTTTCTACTTGCATTTTTACATGCTTTCAAACTGCTAGGTTGGCAGAAGCTGGGACAAGTAACGGGAGCTCACTCCGTTACACAGCGCTAGGGATTCGAACTGCCAATCTTTGAGTCAGATGCATCGGGGGAGCAATTTTTGAAAAGCATTGATCTTAGGAGTCTCTCCTTTGCATCCATCCTAGTGTGCACAATCCATTTATCCTAGGGAGCATAGTAAAAAAAATTGATTGTGGCAATTTTTGTGCATTTGGACCACGAACAGAACATCAAAATTAGGCTACATTAACTCAGCCTTATTTATCCAGGTCAGACTGCCAGCAGATGTGCATGAATGCTGTTTTAATTGGTGCTCAACATGATATGTATTCCTTTATAAATTAAATCAAATTTTAATCAAGGAAGAGATATGAGCAATTTCCTATATCAGCCTTCCCAAAGCTTGTGCCTTCTAGATGCGTGGGAACTGGGCTATCATGATTGCTAATGAATGAAAGGAGCTGAAATTCAACACATCTAGAGCACTAGAGCATTTACTTGGGAGCAGGTCCCATTGAAATCAGTAGGGCTTAGTTCTAAGTACACATGTATAGGATGGTGTTGATAACTATTCAAAACAGTAAAACATCTCCTAGATGAATATAAGAAACCTGTTGGGTTTTATACAATCTTTGTTGAAATACGAGTTTACAAAGTGGAGTAAGCTGGAGACACCATCTCCCCTACTTACTAGGGACTCAAGCAGATTCTGTTTAAACTAGAAATAAAACTAGAATAGGGAAATGCACAGACGTGATCTTCACCTTTGCTTGTGATTTGATCTGCACACTAATTTACTGAGCCAAACAAGTTCCAGAATCGTGCAAAATAAGCCAATAAAAAATGGGAACCCCTCCGTTCAGGGATTGACTGTAAAAACAGACTAGTCGTATTCTCCATGTGGGAGTCCCAGCAATGTTATTTTGTCTTTGCCATTCTGCAAAACACACGTAAAAGCCTGCATTAGCCAATCAAAACTCAATTTATTAAAAGATAAAGAGATGACAGAGAATAAGTGCAGAGGAGATCATCAATCTTTCTGGCTATTGTATAAAGTCTAATAAAGATCGGTCATGCTGTCGATTACCTCCAAATCTCCCTTTGTAATGGATTCTTCCTCAACACGGAACTGTAAATCCTCTACCTTCCTGTAAAAGAAGGGAAAAGTCAGAAGAAAGAGGTGGAAAAATTTCCAAAGTTATTACATCCACCCTCTTATCGCAAGTAACTCAGATTATGAAATGGAACTCAGACAAGCTGATTTATTGCTGTTTATAGAATGATCATCATTGCTAATGTTCTTTTTTTGGTCTCTTTGAGTCAGTGTTGTCTCCTGGTGACCTTTTTGACAAATCCCTGCAGTTTTTTGGCCAAGATTTTGGAAATAGCTTTCACTGCCTCCTTCCTAGGGCTGGGAGAGAGTGACTGCCCCAAGGTTACCCAGCTGGCTTCATGTTCAAGCCAGGACTAGAACTCACGGTCTTCCAGTTTCTAGTCTAACCAGGACACCAAGCTGGCTCTCTCCTGCTGCCTAGAACACTGATGGCTAACCTTTTCCGGAGTAAGTGCCCAAAGCGCGTGTGCGCACATGCATGTGTGCGTGCCCCCAAATCCCCAAAATGCAATGCACAAGTGTTCCCCCACACGCCCCCCCACCCCCTGCACATGTGGCTCCATGCATACACCACACGGCAGAGACTCGAAGACCAGCTGGCTGGTGGGAGGCACACGCACACATGCGCAGTAGAGCGGAACTGGGGCGACAGTTCGCGTGCCATCAGACAGGGCACTGTGTGCCCACCTCTGGCACATGTGCCATAGGTTCCCCATCATGGCCCTAGAACATTACAGGTCATCCTTGGTTAATGACCACTTGCTCAGTGACTGTTCGAACTTCGGTGAGTGCTGAATGAGTGGTACAGGTAGGCCTCGACTTACAACAGTTCATTCAGTGACCGTTCAAAATAACAACGGCTTTGAAAAAAGGAACTTATGACTGTTTTTTACACTTATGACCACTGCAGCATCTCCATGGTGATGCAATCAAAATTCAGAGTCTTGGCAACTGGCTCATATTTAGGACGGTTACATGTCACAGATCTCCTTTTCTGCTATCTCCTTTTCTGACCTTCTGACAAGCAAAGTCAAGCGGGAAGCCAAATTCACTGAACAACTCTGTGACTAACTTAACTCTACATGGGACTGCCCCTGAAAAGTGTTTGGAGACTACAACTGGTCCAGAATGCAGCCGCGCGAGCGATATTGGGTGTACTGAGATACACCCATGTTACACCTATCCTCCGCGAGCTGCACTGGCTCCCTATCGGTCTTCGAACATGCTTCAAGGTGCTGGTTATCATCTTTAAAGCCCTACATGGCTTAGGACCCAGATATCTGCGAGACCATCTTCTGCCACATACCTCCCAACGGCCGATAAGATCACACAGGCTGGGCCTTCTCCGGGTGCCGTCGACTAGACAATGTCGTCTGGCGGCCCCTCGGGGAAGGCCTTCTCTGT